GGGGTGCGGGGGGGAGAGGGTGGCGCCCGCGACGCGGCGCGGTCTGCAGGGGGAGGTCTGGGCCTCCGCCGGGACCCCCGCCCGGTGGGCGGCCGGACGGCGTGACGCCTTTGGCCGCGGCGAGCCCGGGAGGCCCCCCAGGGAGGGTGTGGTTTTTTCTTTTTTTAAAGAAAGGGACCTGTGTGCCCACCCTGTTTTGCAGTCTGTGTGCTACCTGTCTCGTTCCTGCGCAATTACACGCAAATAACCTGACACACGGTCTGCATTTCTTCCCAGTTCATCATTCGTACAGGTCTTTTGGTAGTTGGGAGACGTGGATGTGTAATTTTGGGTGTTTTTTCCAAAAAAATGGGGGCACTGAGCTGGGGGCTCTTTCTGCCAGCAGCCCCCTCAGAGATTCGATTTGTGATCCGTGTGTGAACGTCTTAAGTGATCACTTTGATTCCCTAAACTTGTGAGTGGGCGTACCACCTGGCCCCCGTCAGCTCGTTTTTAAAGCCTCACTTGAAGACCCGGCCCCCCTGTTGGCTTGAGCAGACAGGGTTCAAGGAATTGCTAGCCAAAGGTGTGATTTCCCCCCGGGTGGGGGGGGGGGGCTCCAAAGGGTGTAAGAGCAGAGGAACCGAACGAACTCTGCTGGGGACACAGCTTTGGTACAGCGCCTGCGAGAGGGGTTTGGGGTGGACAGTAAGGAAATGCCTCGTTTTCAGAACCAGGTTTTCTAACCGTCAGTAATTTCGTGTAGCTTTGCTCTTTCTCTGCAAGGTTAGTGCAAGTGCCGATGAGCTGAGATGGCAGGGGGCTCCCCAAGTGCCAGTTGGCCTGGAGAGAAAGCCTACCGTTTGGAACCCGGCAGGCTTTGTCTTTTCAATAAGTAGGGAGAGGCTTGGTAGGAGAAGGCGGCTGGCTGGTCTGTATCTGTCATTGACTCTGAGAAAACAACTGCCAGACGCGTGGCCTTTTGATAGTAGGGAAAAAACCATTACCCACAAATAACAGGGCTTTGTTTTGTGTATGCTTCTTTTTCATTCTGAATGGCTTTTAAGTGACAAATTAATGGAGCCGGCAAGAGTTTCAGAAAACGAATTTTACAGAAATGGGAATGTCAAATATTGCAGTGACTTTAATATGGTTTATGAGAGAAAAGCTCTTAGAGTTATAGCCAGGAGAAAGTAAGAATGTCCAGGAATTAAATTTCCACAGCCCTCTGAAGTCTCCTATTCCTCCCGCTGCCCATTTTTCTTTTCTTCTCCTTTGTCTGCCCCCTTCCATCCTCACCCACCTTGATTCACTATTGTGCCTTTTAGAGTTTTATTTACTTTAAAAGCATTCTGCTGTACTTGTGTACTCGTGGTTGCTTTGCTACACTTAGAGATGTTTTGCTTTTTGTCTGTTTTTAAGCATTAAGGTTTCATTCACGGAGAGGATTTAAGGGAGTGAGGAGCCGATGCCTGGGCTCCAAGGGGAGTGGGGGGATGGTTGGTATAGGAGGCGGAATGAGGAGGGTGCCTGTGTGAACCCCAAAACTGCATCGGAGATCATAACATTACCCTTCACTAAATGCTTGAAAATAAGATACAACTTTAGCTGTTGATACGAGTGACTTTGCACGTGAATTTGGAACTCTGCCTAACTGTTTCTCAACGAAAATGTCTTCAATGAAGCCACTCGCTTCTATTGCTTCTGTAATGACACCTGGCATCTATTGTGTACATTCTACGTGAGATAGTTTACCGAGCACCTCACATGTCTTATTTAACCCTCACAATAGCCCTATGAGGAATATACCGTTTCCCCATTTTAGGGATGAGGAAATTGAGGCACAGAGAGGTAGAGAAACTTGCACAGGTCAACCAGCTGATAAATTAGGCGAGGTTACAAGACCAGGCAGACTGTCTCAGAACCTGCTTATGTAAACACTGGATTACACCGTAATGTATAGAGTATCAGTGCGTGTTCCCTAATTTATACGCCAGGTGTATGTTACAGAATTTGCTTTCTTACTTGGATTTTAATATTTTTGAGCACTTATGAATACTTGCATTTTGTGGTTCCTGGCACTGAGCTAGATGCTACAGAACAGAGTAGGCCTTCTCTTTTCTTACTTTTCCCTCCCCTGAAGGGAGATGACTGGATTGGGGTTCATACTCATGACTGTAATAGCTTTGAAAGTTTCTCCTGTCATTTCGGTTTGCATTCTGGACTTGGCACATCCTTTTTGGGAACCACAAAGACTAGTGTTTTACATAAAGCCATTTAGACTTAGAGAATGAATCTGTTTTATTTATATTTTTTTTAATTTTTTTTTAATGTTTATTTATTTTTTTGGGACAGAGAGAGACAGAGCATGAACGGGGGAGGGGCAGAGAGAGAGGGAGACACAGAATCAGAAACAGGCTCCAGGCTCTGAGCCATCAGCCCAGAGCCCGACGCGGGGCTCGAACTCACGGACCGTGAGATCGTGACCTGGCTGAAGTCGGACGCTTAACCGACTGCGCCACCCAGGCGCCCCGAGAATGAATCTGTTTTAAAACATAAAGTTACATTTTCTGAGATTTTCCCCAGTAGTAACTTTCTACATATATTTTAGTTGTATATTCTAAAATTGTTACAAAAAGACAGCAATTTGATTCCTATGGATCAAAATAGACAGGGGATACCTGTTGTCATCATGTTTTTTGCTGTTGCCTAATACTTTGGGGTGTAAAGCAGATTTTTTAAGGGGGAAATATAAAATAACATCGTATCCTACTGTTTTCCCAATCTTCATTCATTCACTTGGACTTTCCCACTATTTTGGCCCTCTTTCTGTATTGTCTGTAGTTAGGACTTCTCGGAGTTATTGGGAAGCACAAGGTCGGGGGGAAACTTTACAATAAAACATATGCACGTTTACAGACAGTTTTGGTTTCTTTGCCATCAAATGCTACAATTAAGAGAGCTTATATGCTTCTATAATGAGATCCATGTTAACAGATCATGAAAAGAAGAGGTTTATAAATTTTCCTTCTGTTGACGATATTGGTCTCCCTGTGGTCTGCACTGAGGTGGGGGTGGGGCATAACGTTTAGTAACTGTAACAATAACTTTTTCATAGAGCCCTTCGAAGAATGTCCAGTTTTAGAGTGATCACTTCATATTTATCTCACTTAATCCTTCCACATCCCTATGAGATTGACATTATTATACCCATTTAGCAGGCCCAGATTTAATGAGGTCACATGTCCAGTGTCACATAGTGGCAGAGCCTGGATTGGAACTCAACCAGTCTGTCTCTAAAGTCTGGCATCTTAACCATCACACCATGGCTTCTTTCCAAACTGAAGATTGTTCCCAGCACCTGGCATGAATGTACTTTGCCGAGATTAAGAGTGTCAGTGTTTTATCAGTTGAGCCAGCGAGCTTGTTTTTTATTTTATGACATACTCTCTATCATGATGTTGTTTAATGACATCCTGCAGGATTTACTTGGCTTCCTTCCTCCCCACTTAACAGTGCAGACAACCAGGGGCACCTGGCTGGTTCAGATGGTGAAGGGTCCGGCTTCAGGTCAGGTCATGACCTCGCGGTTTGTGAGTTCAAGTCCCGCGTTAGGCTGTCTGCTGTCAGCATGGAGTCCACTTGGGATCCTCTGTTCCCCTCTCTCTCTGCGCCTCCCCCACTCTCTCTCAAAAATAAATGAAAACGTTAGAAAAAAAAAAAAAAAAACCAACTGTGCAGGCAACCAAAGCTCGGATACGGCCAGCCATGAATTGGGCTACACTTCTCCCTCTGCTTCCTGGCCTCATTTTGTGTCTCAGCTCTACCCTGTGTGGGGTCTCCTACTACGACCTCCCGCACTGGGGTGGCCATGAGGCGGTGGGATGGAAGCAGAGGGGTCTAAGAAAGCACAACAGACAGTCGTTGGGGAAGTTTTTGTGGAGTCGGAATCCAGGTCCACACCCAGCTTTTCAGCGTTGCCCCTATGGATTGTGTTTCCGTTAGATTTTCTGGCCTGTGGTTTTCTCTCCAGCAGATATTGATTGTGTGCCACCATGTGCCGGTCACTCTTGTAGGCAGTGGGCACCCAACAACACAGCAGGCAAGGCCCTGACCTTAGGGAGCTTACGTTGCAGTGGCAGAAAGACATCGTAAGCGTGCAGATGAGGTGGTGAGAGCTCTTTGGAGACAAGCAAAGCTGGGTGAGAGAGGGCGGGAGGAGAGGAGGGAGGAGTTGCTTTTTATATGGGTGGAAGGGAAGGCCTCTCTGGCGAGGTGCCGAGGTGACGTTTGAACAGAGAGAGGGTGTGTCACAGGGATGCCCGGGGAAAGGCCATTTCAGGGGAGGACACAGGTGCGAAGGTCCGATCATGCCTGGTGTGCTGGAGGCACAGCAAGGAGACCCGTGTGGCCAGAGTGTAGCGGGACCGGCGTGCAGGGTAGGAGGGGAGATCAAGCTAGTTAGGCCAATCACACAGGATTCGTGAGGCATTTGAAGGGCGTCGTCTTTCCCTTTGAGGGAAGGGGAAGCACTTGGCAGAGTTTAAGAAGATTGACATGGTGTGACCGTTCTGTCTGCGCTGTGGAAAATACGTTTGGGGGTTGAATGAGGGGA